ATCGTGCACACTATAAAAAGAAAGTCTATAGGTTATCCAAACGAAAGCCATACCACATACATCTATTTTAACAAATATTGTGTACAATCTTCTTCAACATCGTTGATACGTTGAAATATGGCTTTGCCCCGTAGTAAATCGCCTTCCTATGTAGCAAGCACATTCAAAAAGAGCCACATTCTTCAAATAATGTTTTTTTTGGTTTTCTTTGGTAGAGTCTTACTATAATGACATTGGCGCTAAATGGGTATTGGCACGCGATGGGAAAGTTCCGCCAAACGCGGTGATCGGGGGACATGAAGGACGAGTGACTCTGTATGTAGCGCGTTTTTATACAAAAGAAGGACATCTCAGCCACGGAAAATAATATCCTCCAGACAAAAAAAGCTTACAGAGGAAACGAGCAATCGTCCAATGTTTATTAAGTTTTAACTCATTCCGACCAGGACCGAAGACTGAAATGGGTTTCGAGTAAAGACGGAGTCATTCCGGCGGGGGTATGCACGATCACAACCTGATTTGTGGTAAAGTGGGGGCTGACAAACTATGACTTTCGTACTTTGGTCAAGAAATTGGACTGGTGGACAATTTTGAAGTACTGTGTGTGTCATCTGTCAATATAAACTAGTTCTCTTCGATTACAGATTTAATCCTTTTTGATAAAAGCTAATCTATTGTCTTTTCGATCACGGAACAAACCAAAGGATGCAGTAATAGTTTTCTTGCCAGTAGAAATCGGCGGTTTTGCGAGACAAGAAGAGTTCGAATAGCGTTACGATAGATGCTCGCCTTCAGTAGGCAGAGACAATCACACTCTCAAGAATTAGAATCTGTAGATAAAAATTCCTTATCTGTCATTGAAATGATACCGACATTGACAGTCCGTTGTTTCAAAATACATTCGATGTATATTTTTCTTCTGTTAACGACTTTTCTTCAACTTGAATCGATTCGAAGTAAAGGTAAATATGATTTCGGCCCAAATCAATTAGCATCGAATGTTTGGTATAGACCAAAAGGACAGTTAATCAATGGTCATTACGAACATAGTTATTCAAATTTTACTTTATGGCCAAAACTTCGACAGCATCTGATAAAAAACAAGTAACGCTCGACGAGGGCGCCTCGCTTAACCCTCGACTGAATAGCGAACATTAAACGAACAGCTCAAATAATGTGCTCAAAGACGGGTACTACTAGTGTCATATATAGAACAACAGATACGTATTTGTCATGTAAATGAAGTTTAATATCTATCAATACAACGATGAAGTCGTCTCCACCACAAAAAGACTAAAAAAACTTCGTAACAACAATTATATGAGTGAAATGCAACTTTATTGTACAATTGACAAAAAAAATGAAAGTGCTCCCAGAGAAAATCCGATTAGTACATTTTATTCCTTATCACCCACGGAATGTGTGGTAAAAATTTCCGCGCTGTCCGACTCGTCTTTGTCTAGATATTCGATCATCAATTTAAGGTTTTCAACAAAAACGTTTTTAAAAGAAATTGCGCCGAATATGCACTGCAACCCAATGTATAATGCGTCAAAAAAGAGATCTGAGTGGTGTAATGTAATGGTACCCATAGCCATTGAAGTGCGTCGAGAAAGAAAAACCGTAAAAGTGCCTTAAAAATATATAGGCAAAAATCAGATTCACGAAAAAATAACTGGGTCTACATTCTGAGGTACATCGTAAAACTCTCCCTAAAAGTAAGTGAGACAGAGCTGATTGATGATATCCTTGTTCAGTTTTTCAAGCTGCATCTTTCTGTGGTAGTTCGATTAATTTTCGTTCAGTAGGTGAGGTGCAAAAAGCAAAATAATTATGAAAAACTGTGTCTACAGTTAGTATGTAATTAAAGCCTTTTGATCTTCCGGTCTAATTAAAAAATGTTTACCACAACTATTTCTACGTAGTTTATTAGCACTTTTTACGCTCTATCTTTTACTGATTTTGATTTTTTTTTTCAAGTGTGTTCCTTGTCCCCTCTAGCATAGTTTTAAACTGGGTCTACACTTTGTCTGTAAATGTATTTTCTTCAAGTAGAACCAAAAAAAAAAAACAAACAAAAACAAAAGTGAGCCACATGGATGAATAGAGAATTGAATTCTGCACAGAACGTTCTATCTATTTATTTTATTTTTCTTCTTTTGTTCCTCCAAAAATTTCGTTTTCTGTCTATGACTCATAAAAAAAATGCTATTTTGAACTTGCACCGGTTATATCTCAGCCGGATGATGAGTTATGGTGCTGAAAGTTTCTGTGGTAATGGGAGATACATTAAGGAATGCGAGGGAAACAATATCCGAGATCGCACTATAGGAACTGGGATTACAGGAAAAAAGGTTTGAAAAATCCAATTGTACAATAAAGTTGCATTTCACTCATATATCGAGCGGAGCGGCTAGTCATTCGTTGGCACCTCTTCGGGGCAGCACTCACGGCTAGCCACTCCTATCCACACATAATCTATTTCATAATTTTCTATGCCTATTCTATCAGTATCTATGCAAGAAAGTGCTGTAAGAGTACGCTACTTTCCACTTGGCCACTGTCTGCCACTCAGACAATAGTTCAACCGGTCGCTCACTTCCTCATTGTTCAAATTTTATTCATCACTCCTCACCTTCGAACCCCATCGGTCAACAATTTGGTGATTTCGATGAAAACATTTCATGTGATCTTTCCCTATGACTCATCGATGACTTACCCTCCCTCGAAACCCATGCCAAACATTTTTTCTTCAAATTGAGGTTTTTTGTCGAAAAAAAACCTTTTTTGACCTTTGACCCCCCCTCCCCACTATCCTCAGGCCTCAAGACCCCTCCCAAACGATGTTTCACAAAGTTTTAAAAATTTTCATTAATTTCACCTTTGACCCTGACACAAACAGACAAACTTTTTTCTCATATGATCCTCCTTTCAGTCGAGCGAATTAGCGGATAAAAATCTTTTCCAAGAAGAGTTCCAAGTAATTTATGTTAGGCAGTGTCTACGGTGATCTTACTAAGCTATACTATGACGATGGCAACAGCTTCTTCTATGCCATAACGTGCAGATGGTCCGAGTTCTCGAGTTTTAAACTATGATGGCATTACGTAGGATATCTTTTCGCCCGATTCGAGTTTTTCCAGGACTTATTCGTCCTCGTATGCATTCCAACCATTCCAACAATGATTCCAGATAGAACTCGACGAGCTCTATCGATTGGTAAAAAAATTTTCCCAAAAAGTCACTTCCTTGCCCCTAAAAATCCCAAAAAACTGACAAAAAACACCCCAAAATTGCATAATTTTCAGAAATACCTGGGCCGATTCGCCTGAGTGATATCTGGTATCATTCCAAACATGATTCCAGATAGAACTCGATGAGCTCTATCGATTCCAATCATCAGATTTCCCATAGCTCACTTTCTTTGTCTCGAAAAATGGGGAAAACCGCCCAAAATCATCAAAAATCAAAGAAAATCCCTGGTCGATTCGCCTGTGTAGCATCTAGTACCATTCCAAGCATGATTCCAGATCAAACTCGATGAGATCTATCGATTCCAATCATCAGATTTCCCATAGCTCACTTTCTTTGTCCCGTAAAACGGGAAAAACAGCCCAAAATTATCAAAAATCAAAGAAAACCCCTGGCCGATTCGCCTGTGTAGCATCTAGTGCCATTCCAAGCATGATTCCAAGTCAATCACGATGAGTTCTATCCATTTCACACCTCATTCACGAATTGCGAGCACTTCATCAGTAAGAAATCGCATAATTACTGTATTCACAGCATACGAACACAGCAACAAAAAATACATTGGTTGATTTTTTTGAACCAATAGAATATGAGAATATGTTTTATCACGTATTCATATTCATAGAATATACAAAATTTTGTTCTAAATAATTTGTAGTATTTTTCTATTTCACGGGCCTAGAAAAGATTAACCAATTGAATAATATATTTTATCATTGCTATTGTTTCACAACTACTGTAAAGATGGCGCTGCGTGTCAGTTTAGTTGAACAGAAGAAAATCGCTAATTTCGCAGAGATATTCTATCGGTTGAGTCATTTGAACTTATGAATCAGAAGAATTTGAGAAGTACTACAAATTATTCCCTTTTCTGAAAGAAACGGTTATAGCGTCATAAATCTGGTCGTTGAAATGCAAAAAGTTTGCTTGTTTGCATAATCCAATCAGATTGCAGCATTCAATAAATGAATGAAAAATTAACCATGGTGAGTAGCAAACGATTGATGAAAGGTTTTCGGGGTCGAGGAACTCGAATCTGATGTTAGTTTCTTAAAATTCTAATTCGCTAATTAGCTAATGGGCTAATTAAGTAAGAAGAAAAATTGTTTTGTCGAGTAAGGGTTGACCGAAGGGTAATCGAGGTCAAAGAACTCGAATATGACGTTAATTTTTTCTTAGTCACGAACCTTCTGCTTCTTTCTTTTTTCCAGAAGAGATATTTTTCTGTATCTTCCTAAAATCTTTTGTAGAAGATAGTGGTCTGAATGCTACTGCTGGACGTGATGTGGACCAATGGAATAGTTTAGGAGTTTACAGAAGAAGATTTAATATAGCATACATCATGATATTTCTAGTTCAAGAAATCATAAACAGTGGTATAAGCTTAATATCATTTGTGTCTTCTAGGCTGCGGTACGTCTAGTCTTCCAATAGGAATTTAGTGGAAATATATGCCAGAGTTATATGCCCATAAATGCAATTCTATCTTATTAACTACAGAGACATGACCTATACAAATAGTATCCTAAACATACGGTGCACTACTCTGTAAAAAAAAAAGGCGTCATACTGAACCATAAAAGGTTCTAGATTTCGGTACCATTTTCAGAACCCTCTAAGGTTCAAGCACAATCTGGTTTTATCTAAACCTTTTTTCTATTTTCTCAAAAAATGGTTCTAGTCTTCCAGAGAACAGTTCATTTTAGTTGCTCTACCTTCCACTATCTATTGGTCCCCTATTCAACTACTTATCCTTGTCTTTTGTGCGCCACTTCTATCCATGAGCTTNTACTAATATACACTGTTTCATCATTCCGTCCAGGAACATCCCACAGTGTATACGATGTACCTGGATAAGGAGTGATTTTTGTTGTTGTCTCATTAGGACCTGTTTCAGCAACTTTTTTTCCTAGAAGACTATTGAGTAAAGTTGATTTACCAGTTGATGTTATGCCAAAAACAGCGATATTAGTACCATTCATTTCGATTGGTTTAGTTTCTAGCGCCAGCTGAACTAAAGTATCTCTCATTTTTGTATCTCGTTCGGCTAGATCTTCAAACGATTTAATGTGAAGACGCCTGGCCTGTGTCATCAGTTCCATAAATCTAAGCATCAGGTCGTTTTGCCGATCATAATAAAAACGTAACTCTTCATGTAGCATTGCATTTTCTCTTTGGTGCTGATCTATTCGAAACGATAAATTTCAATTCAGAAAATATTTAAAAGGATATAAAAACACAATCTGTTGCTTATTTAAGATAATAGATCATAATAGATTAAAATCTTAATGAATAGGTACCCTAGTATTTGACGATATATATTCAGTTCAACAAAATACTCTAAAAATGTTTTCATGACTATTTTTACGACTACAATATGTTATCGATGTTATAGCTATGCTTGAAGAAAAACTCATAATACTTGTAAAATCTGCATCTAGTACTTTTGTTTGAACTTCCAAGAATTCGTGCTGAAAACTGATTTCCTCTAGGTAAAATGAAATTTTCGTTTCTAGTTAAAAGTTTATGTTTGAAGACCTCTCGACAGAAATACAAAGTAATTACAAAAGTGGTACTCGAATGTTTTATTAGGTACTAATGTTGTTCCTTAAATATTATTACTAGCATATAGCAATTTATGCCAAGATATCAAAGTAGTATAAATGAAATATCATCAGAGAATAAGTTTTAGTGAAGTGCACAATATTCGACAAGATTGATTTCAATCATCGACAATGAACCTGAACATAGATCTAATAATTTTGTCTGGTGAAGTCAAATTGATTTCCGCCCCAGTTCTATCATACATGGCCGTAAACGGCCATATACCAACAAGTTACGACAGCCGTATACGACGCTTCACGCTATGATACGCTTGCCGTAAACAATGACCATATATGTTTGTCGTTTACAACTATTGTAATAAGACGGCGAGTGGAAACGATGCTCAGAGAATATCTTGCACTACCCTAAAAGCCAGCTTTGAACTTCGTTACCCCACACATTGAACTTTCGACCACTTATTCTAAGCCTACAAGAAAGACTACGCGTTTTCACAAAAGCCATTCCGATCTTTATTGTTATATGCTTTACAAAATCCTTTTTACATATCTATTCTTTCTGTTTTTCAAAGATATTGCCGTAAAAAACTATGCTTTGTTCCAGTAAAACTTGTTACACAATTTTCCAGTGACTATCTGAAACCACAAATGCAGCAAGCACGTAGTAAATCTTCTTTCAATTGTTTCCAGAATTTTGCTTTAAAACATTTTGAAATCTTTTGACTCTCAGACTTTCATGAGGGAGGAATATATAGAAGTGCCTACTTTATGTTTCTCCTAAGATGGATCCTAGCCTTGCAGCCAAGATATGTCTTAATACTTGAGCTAGGATCAAACCTAGTCTTTCAACTAGGGCTGCCAGGGGTGGCGTGACTGAGGGAGGTTGAAGGAGGGTACCTCCACCCCTCTGCTTTCGAAAACTTCAAGTGATAGTTTTCTCTCATCTTGGGAGAAAAACCTCATAGATTTGCTCTCATTTTCAGAGAAAAAAAAATTTCACAGATTTCCTCCCATTTTGAAAAATGCCACCCCTCTGCGCTGACCTCTACGCGCCACTCCTGCTAGAGCTGCTCCTATTCTCTAACCTAGTTCTAATGAAATCATAATGAAATTCTTTTAGTTAAATCGTAATACTATCATAAACAGCAATGTTAATGATGGAGTTTTTCATAATACGACCGTCTTCGGCTGGTGAACGTTAAGATACAGTAGTGTTACGATGTTCGTGCCTGGTCGCAATTTTGCTGTTTACGGTGATGTACGTCATCATGAACGACCGTTTATGATCTCCGTAATGTTCGACCTAGGCAGATAGCTTTTATTTACAGGTTAAGATATTCTATTTACTTTTGTATCGTTAAAACTGTTCTGTGTTAAGCATTGAGTTCAAATAAGTCTTTGACATAAAAAATTCACCGGTTTACGTACTTGAGTTTCGAAGCATAGTATTCATTAGATCAGCAACAGCGAAAACAGCGACTGGTAACAATGGTGCAAACGAGGCCATGTCAAAAATACTAATCGACAGAAGATATGTTTAAAATCAATGATGACCCATTATAAATATCCGACTTTGCTGGAAAATTCCAACATTGATAATACTTGGAAATTTCTAAGATCTTTTCTTGGTAATTTCTTTCCATATATATTTCTGTGCAGAATTCTGTTGCTTCTTTTCTTCCTGTGCTTTTTCACTGACTCATAAAATAATACAGAAAATCATAGAGAAAAAAATTCTCTTTTTAGTCTCTTCACTTCTTCTGTGTAAAAGAATAAGAAAAACTGAGAGTTGAGATAAACAAAAGAATTCTTTCTGTATGATTTTCTTTATTATTTTTATGAGTCAGTGAAAAAGCACAGGAAGAAAAGAAGCAACAGAGTTATGTAAAGAAACATATGACGAAAGAAATTACCAAGAAAAGATTTTAGAAATTTCCAAGTATTATTAATGTTGGAATTTTCCAGCAAAGTCAGATATTTATAATGGGTCATCATCGATTTTAAACATACATAACTTACCATCAAATATTATTACCAAACATGGATAATTCATTTATGTTACTGAAAGCTTTTGCTAAACTTTGCGAAAACATCTTAAATGAGCTGTATACACGAGAGTTATTCCGGAGTAAGTGAGCCAATGTCAATACATATTTCGAAATATACGCCGAAGCAAGTGCATAAAATATATTATGTATACAAGTAAACTGAATGTTTGAAATCTGTGTGTCGTTTGAGAGGACTGCATTTCCTGTGAGATAGGTTCTTAACATCTGGCCTTAGAAAAGTCAAAAACAAATGAATTTTCCATAATATCTTAGGATGATAACGTTATCAAAGAAGATTTTGTCTAGCTGCTTTTGTTTCTGTATGATTTTGTGTTCTCTTTAGACACGAATTTCTCTTAACTTCCTTTGAATTAAAGCGACGCAAAAAACTGAAATTTAGTCAAAAAAAGAAGTAGCGCTTGTAGCTTGTTTCATCAGTATAGATTTAACTAAACCTTAATATTATACATACTTATTTATTCGTGTCTTTAGAAGTTTTTCCGCCCCAACAAGCAAATAATTTTCGAAGCATAGCTTATCAGAATCATCCAATATTGGCTTCATCACCAAATGGCAATCAAGATTCATCATCACAATTTAACTCTAATCGAAGCTCTTTTATAACAGCTAGCAACGCTCAAACTATTGGATTAATAGGTATAATATCAGTTTTATAATAGTTTTTCGTTTGCTAAAACTAAAGATTGAGTATAGTAGTATAGGAAAAAACATGGAGTACACGAGAACAGTATTCATTGGATTATATATGACTTTTTTTATTTTACAGGGCACAATGTCTTATAATAGATATGTAGAAATGTTCATATTCTCTCCCATGTAATAAGTCAAATTTGATAGAATTCTTTTTGAATAAAATTTAAACTAAGAAAACGTGTGTAATAGTATCAAAACTCTTAGTATTACTGACAATGATTAGTGATAGAATATTGGAGTATGTGCCATGGAATCATTGCAATCTGAGTAGCATCTAAGTTTTTTCATTGTAGTAGCATTAGTGTTTTCGTTAGATGCTAACAACACAAGATAATCAGATCGTTTAATTTTCGACAACAAAAATATTTTTCCTTTGAAGAAGATATGTTAGTTTTAGCACTGAGTTTATCAAAGAAAAATTCAGAGATCTAACATACACGTTATAAATTCACCTAATAGTTCCATAGTTATAAATGGTGAATCACATTTTATGAACTTTTACGAGGATAATAATATAAATTCTAATATAGATAATCAACAATCAGAAGAATATAGGATGTTGTGTCAAAAAGCAGAGCAGCATAGAAATGACAATGCCGAACTGTTGGCTGGTTTCGAACGACTTAACGAAGAGATGAAGGCAAAGAAGATTACTTCATTCGAAGTTCTTGCTGAACAAGATAAAAGAGCGGCGAAACTCTTCCTCGAATTAGCGCGATTAACCGAACCAATGCCACTGGATAATATTAACATTGGTATTTTTGGCTTAACATCAACTGGTAAATCAACTTTACTCAATAGTCTTCTAGGAAAAAAAGTTGCTGAAACAGGTCCTAATGAGACAACAACAAAAATCACTTCTTATCCAGGTACATCGTATACACTGTGGGATGTTCCTGGACGGAATGATGAAACAGTGTATATTAATGTGGAATATATATCATTCTTCAAAGGATTAACACATCGTCTTATTCTTATTCAATCAACGCTCAAAGAAAATTCGAGTATGATGAAACTTCTTGATGAAATTGGCTTAAATTATGATATTATCGTTAATAAATTTGATCAAGTGGATGAACATGAACGAGAAGGATTCAAAACACATATTCAAAATGAAATAGTGACACTTGGATTGAAAAGGGTGAATAAAATATTTTATATATGTGCCAAACAACCTCAACTATTCGAGGATTGGCTACAATTGGTTAACTGGCTCACACCAAATGAAGCGTAGACTGAATATAAGAGTATTTTCAATAAACTTTTGTCAGTGTGTATGTTTTTTCCAAATTTCTGTGACACACTTAATAAAATTATAATTCTCTCGACTGAAAGGAAAATTGTATAAAATAAATGCAGAAACTTCGGATTTTATCCGAAAGCTATGTGCAGTCTAAAAAGTGTATGAGACTTAAGCTACAGAACACTCTAACTGTGATCTGAAAACTCTACAATCAGCAACAACAGACAAGTCCATACAGTCGATTATTAAGGGCCCAAACGAAATATTGCTATAACGCTACTCCCGAGAAATTTTCACCACAGCTAAAGAGAGTTCACGAAAAACTCAAGAATGCCATTGTAACGATAATGATATCGTTCATCTCTTTCTGTTCTTTATTCTCTCACCTCTATATCATACTATCTCCGGGTCATATCTCTCTTTCCTCTTCTCTATATAAGCGCGTGCCTTATTGTGAAAGACATACATTCTGGTCACGTAGAGTAGTCAATAAACATCGATACCGTGAGAAGCGGTCAGCTACTCAACCAGTTTGTCGTTACAGCCATCATAGTTTAAAGCTCGAGAATTCGGACCATCTCCACTTTATAGCATAGAAGAAGCCATTGCCATCGTCATAGTATAGCTTAGTAAGATCACTGTAAACACTGCCTGACATAAATTACTTGGAACTCGTCTTGGATCAGATTTTTATCCGCTAATTCGCTCGACTGAAAGGAGGATCATATGAGAAAAAAGTTTGTCTGTTTGTGCCAGGGTCAAAGGTGAAATTAATGAAAATCTTTAAAACTTCGTGAAACATCGTACAACATCGTTTGGGAGGGGTCTTGAGGCCTGAGGATAGTGGAGAGGGGGCAGTAGTGTCAAACTCGAAACTTGAATTCAACTATTACACTTGAATAGTTGAATTTTTCAATTATTTGAGCATTCAAATATTCTAAAATCCACTCTTTTGGTACCCACACATATCCTCAAGAATTTCAGAATTGGCACAAAAAGAGAAAACATGTGGAATTTTGGGTACGAGCGCTGAGAAGGTCTTCGCTACCAATTTTCTCCATCTATGGAATCGTGCTATCTTATTCGTCAGCTGCACAGCATGCTGCTACCAAGCGCGTGGTTCGCTTTTTCCGCAACAAAGTAGATATCAACCTTCCTCTGGGTCAAAGGTAGTGTCAATGGACGCTTGGTGACGACAGCTATTACAGGCATTAAACGCATAGCGAACAAACAAACAAAGTTTCTTTTTTATGCATATACATGGAAGAAGAAGACAGGGAAACCCATCGCGTCGATACATCTAACATTAGCGTTTCTGTCGCAACAGTTTCTTTTGCTCAATTTAACAGGAACCCAGCTATCCATGGAAAATGTCCCAAACAGTTATCCCTAATATTTTCATCTTCGTTTTCGCTCAGAAACCTGGCAACTCACCGCTACTTACACTCTTACCCCGCACACCCATCGTCATCTTTAAGAAAGTAGAGGCGATCTTTGTTGAACCAAACTGAAATTCGACGAAAAACGAAAATGCGCGTCAAGTATTTATTTGTATTTGTTTTTTCAATGCTCTTCTTGTCTTTATTATTCGTTTTAATAATATATTTTCTCTATGTGAATAGTATGGTGAATCCAGTGAAGAAAAACTTTCATTCAGATGGAATTGTAAAGAAAATCAAGAGTTATGCCAAGAGAAAACAAATTCCATTGGTGATAACAGGTGAGATTCTTGGCAATGAAGCGGGCTCAATGAGTTCGACGTATCATGGCTATTTAAAATTCACTAATCACACGCAACTTTCAGTTATTGTGAAATATTTATCATTTAAAAGTGTTTGGAATTATGTTCACATAGAAGAATTGAATAATCTGAACAAAACGACTTGTTACTCGAGAATTGATTCGAAAAATAATGAATATTTCATAAATACTGAGCAAAGACAACGAATTGTAACTGAAAATTGGTTTCCTGTCGAAGTTTATGTTCTCTATAAAAGTTATTTTTGTCAGGAATTGATGCCAACATCAAGGATTGTCTCATTAAATCTCTCGTACTTCTCTTTTTATGAAAGAATTGAACAAAATGAAACTGAACAAACATTTTTTCTAATTATCAAAAAATTAGACAATGCAATTTCGCTCAGAAAGCATTTGCAGACCAGCTCCAATCGATTAACACTTTCGGCTGTTCAAAATTTAATCTATTCGATATTATTTTCCGTTTTACAGTTAAAACAAATGTCAATGATTCATCTCGATCTTAACGTGGGGAATATTTTCTTGGTAAATGATCCAAACGATCAATTCGCAATTCGATTTATTGATTTTTCAATTATGAAATTGGTTCACAAATCTCAGTATATAGATGAAGAAATTTTCATAAACTATTCCGAAAATTTGCATCAATCACTTCGGAGTATTTTCCTCAATTGCCCATCCTGCTATACATATCCACTTCCAATCTTTGCTCAGCAATACCAACCAGAATTTGGATCATATTTTATCGAGCATCTTATCTATGATCCTTTTTTCTATCTTCAAGAAAACTTGCATGTCTAACCTGTTGTTTCCTTTAATTAAACAAATTTCTACATTGATCGTTGCTGTATAATCGATGATGAACTTCATCAATTAGTTTAGATTCAATCTGAACGACGTCAATTATCAATAAATATTTGTCTCCAAAGAAGAATGAAACCATAATATCTTTTTGGTTTTTTTTTCTAAAAAGGTCTGTTTTTATTCCTTATAGTTGCCTGCATGTTCCACAGATCAGTACGAGGCTACTATGAAAGAATTGTTTTATGTCTTATCAATAGTATTGACTCTTCTGACCTATTCTCACTTTTTTCTGAGTTCCCCTCTCCTATCATTCTTTCTTCAGTCATGTTATTTACCTTTTCTATCGGTTCTGCACCGAACGAGAACAAAATTAATAACAAATCTTGTCTTTCGACATTTTCCTCTTTCATATTAGCGACTCCCTACTAAAATACCTGCATTTGTTTACGATCATTCGTCATCCTCTATTATTTTCGTTCCGCTTCCTATCTTTGTTGTAGTGCGATGTTTTGAATTCAGATCAGCATTTGTCAGCGCCACTTCATTTGCGCCGATGACTGCGTCATTTGAGTTTCGAGCTGTTTTGATCAACATACAGGATCTTCTTTCGAATACCGACCGAGAACGATTGAATTTTCTTCTTGGCGAGGATGTTCCAAAAACTTTACGCGAAGATGCTTCCGTTGGTGGATCATTTCGTATACTTGAACATCTCTTCCAAAAGACTATGATAACCAATCAAGATTGTGATTATCTTATCGAAGCATTTATGAATATTCACTGTCACGACGCTGCAAAACGATTGAAAGGTGAGCCTGTGTGTAACCTTATGTTGACTACGACTTTGTCATGTACTCTTTTCCAGAATATCAAAGGAAGCAATCAAAAAGAAACCAACGCAATATCTCCATTCAAGAGATTCTGTGGCAGGACAACGATGAGGATGAAGACGAGGACGATAAGATCGCTTATACTAGTTTGTAACAATACTAGACAATCATTTCCATAAAAAGAAAGATTCATTTGTTCTAGAACAAACGCTCGATTCACCTAAGTTTCAGACCGACATGGAATCTTTGAGTCCTTCTCCAAATGTCTCTATCGACAGTGAACCACAGAGAAACTCATTGCTTTCTGCGCATAATCAAACGAAAAATGATGTCGATCAATCTCGAAGCAAGGGCCGAGCATTCAAAATATCACATAAAATTCGTCAGCGGATTGTGATCAGCATTATTATTCTGAGTGTATTGAGTCTTCCATTAGTAATTATTCTATCAATGAAGTATAATGAACGTACATCAAAACTCAAAGAGGGTAAGATACACATCATAGCTCGATATCTACGAAATAATCGTTCTTGTTGATTAGAGTTAGACATAACAAATCGTTGATACGTAGGAAAAGAAGTCTACTATTCATTAGTATCTGAAAACAATGGGAGACATTTTCCCAACAGAACATCAAGTCTTCATTAAACTTTTGGAAACTATGAGCCTAAGCATTTTCTTATAGAGTTACCGAAGTTCTACAGAATATTAACATTTAGTTGTCAAATTCACCCAAGCTGGACTACGGTACTATAGCAGCGCAAACTACTCCGAAGCCCTTCGCAACTTCAAACAAGCTAGTGACATGCAGTCGAAAATCCTATCACCGACTCATTCAGATTTAGCTACAACATTCAACAACATTGGTGTGGTGTATTACGACAGAGGTGAATCTTCGAACGCCCTCGATTATCACAACAAAGCTCTTCGAATTCAGCAGAAATCTCTTTCACAAACACATCCAGATATTGGCACCACTCATAATCATATCGGTTCAGCATATCTCCAAAAGTGTGACTATTCGAGAGGTCTCAAAGAGTATAATGAAGCACTTCAGATTCAAAAACGATCTCTCCCTACGATTCATCCCGATTTAGCTATTACGTACAACAACATTGGTTCAACGCATCTCAAATTGGGGGAGTATCAAAGAGCTATTGAAAACTATAAGCTAGCACTTGATATTCAAGAGAAGTCCCTTAATCAAACTCATTCCAGTTTAGCAACGACGTACAACAACATTGGCTTAGCGCATTTCAGCAATGGCGAATATTCAAAAGCTTTCGAAAGTTATAACGAGGCACTGAGAATCCAACAAAAGTCTTTGCTGTCCATCCATCCAAGTATAGCAATTACATACAACAACATCGGATCTGTTCTCTCGAAAAAAGGTAACTATTCAATAGCTGTTAAAAACTACAAGAAGGCACTCGAAATTCAACTGAGATCTCTTCCACCAAGGCATCCGGATATAGCCACTACGTATGACAATCTCGGTTTAACATACGCCTATGCCGGTGAATATTCAAAAGGTCTTGAGAACTGTGAGAAAGCAATAAATATTCAGAACAAATCTCTCTCTCCGACGCATTGCAACTTAGCAATGACTTATAACAATTTTGGCTTATTACATACACTTTTGGGTAACTATTCAGAAGCTCTTGAACTTTACAACAAAGCATTCGAAATTCAAAAGCCTCTGCCATCTACTCATCCACATTTAGCTATAACGCGCAACAACATTGGTTCAACGCACCTCAAATTGGGGGAGTATCAACGAGCTATTGAAAACTACGAAAAAGCGCTTGAAGTTCAACAGAAATCTCTTCCACAAGAACATCCAGATATAGCCATCACGTACAACAACATCGGCTTAGCCCATTATCATAAAGGCGAGTATTCGAAAGCTCTTGACGAAAGTTACGTGCAGGCGCTAGAGATTCAGCAGAAGACTCTTTCTTTAAAACATCCAGATTTAGCCATCACGTACAACAACATGGGTTCAGTGCATCTCAAATTGGGCAAATATCAAAAAGCTATAGAAAAATATAATTTGGCCCTTGGTGTTCAAGAGAGCTTCCTCAGTCAGACTCATCCCAATTTAGCGATGACGTACAACAACATCGGTTTTATTTACTCTCTTATGGGCAACTATTCGATATCGCTTGAAAAATTTCGTAAAGCACTTTCAATTCAACAGAAGTCCGTTCCTCCAGAGCATCCAGATTTAGCCAACACGTACAATAATCTTGGCTTATCATATTCTGAAACAGAGGATTATTCAAAAGCTCTTGAAACATACGACAGAGCACTTAAAATTCAAGAGAAATTCGTTCTTCCGAATCATCCGGATATAGCCATAACATACAACAACATCGGCTTTGCCTACTTTAGTATGGGCAATAACTCAATAGCTCTTGAAAAATACAAGAAAGCACTTGAAATTCAACAGAATTCTCTTTCTCTCGAACATCCAGATTTTGCCATCACGTACAACAACTTTGGCTTAGTGCATTGCAAAAAAGGAGACTATTCCGGAGCTCTATATTATTACAACAAAGCACTTGAAGCTCAACAGAAATCTCTTCCTCCAGATCATCCAGATTTAGCTACCACACACAACAACATCGCTTTCGCATTTTTAAAAGACGGCAAGCACTCAAGAGCTTGTGAAAGTTACTCGAAAGCGGCTTCGATTCTGCGGAACTTCCTCCCTCCGACTCGCTCAGGCTTAGCGACGACTTATAACAAAATTGCTGAACTGTATGAAAAGATAAACGATACTTTAAAAGTTCAGGAATGTCGCAAAAGAGTACATGAAATGAAATAGATCTCTAATTTGGTTACTCATTAGTTTTCATTGCCCAAATGATTGGAAATGAATGTGTTTATTGGAAGAGTGAGACAAATGTTGTATTCGTTTTGTTCAATAAATGTGACGCTGACATGTCTATGAATATAAAGAATGTCTGAAAATGATATTAAAGCCGATAGCTGACAGACAATCAAAACGAGAGGATCTTATGTTTCGACCGCTTATCTTATGTTACTGAACAAATCTTTCTTAAGTATGGAAATTCTACTAATAGCAATAGATCCATTAGTAACATCAATTAATCATTCATGAGAGCAAATCAGCACGATAATAAATCTTCATCTATCTCCAAACATGACAACTGGGTCAATCATGAGCTGTTATATAGGTCAATTTCGAAGTCTTTTGTAAATATAAAGAATAAATACAGATGAAATTTGTAAGACAAACTTAAACGAAATCCTGTAGTTCTTTCCACCACAAATCGTTCTGTATTTTGTATTATCTACTCTCGACTCTATTAGTACATGATCAACATTTCTATGTTTATTAAATAAAAATTTCTTTCAATCATATTCTTCATTTAAGTTAAACTAACGCAAATTTTCTGCTCTCGACTGATAAAATGAAATTCAGTTCACAACTTGTTTTTCAATTTCCTTTCCATTGCGGTTTTCGTTTTTCATTGAATGCCCGAATACCTTCATGACGATCTTCCGTATCGATTAATTCTTTATAATATGTTAATTCAATTGCTTTGGCATCATCCGTACTCTTTCCCCATCCTTCATCAATCGCTTGTTTAATCGCCTGTGTTGCCAACGGTGCATTTGTTGCAATGGTCATTCCCAATTCAATTCCTCTCTCCAACGCTTGACCGTCTTCAGTTAAAATCTGCACGATTCCCATGTCGAATGCTTCTTGAGCGTTCAATTTTCGTCCAGTAATGGCTATTTGTTTCGCTCGTGCCGGTCCAACGAGACGAGCAAGTAACTGAGTACCACCACCACCAGGCATAATCCCACGTGTGACTTCAGGTAATCCAAATGAAGAAGAACGCGACGCAACGATCATATCACAATTCAATGCTAATTCAAAACCACCAGCTAAAGAAAATCAAGGATTCATTTACTTCATTGAAGCAGTTATATGTTTACCCAAAGCAAATCCTTCAACACACGCAATCGTTGGTAGTTTCAATTGTGCCAACGAATTGAACATTTGTTCGAAAATGTGATGTTGTTCCATCCATTGTTTTGGTTCTGTGATATGTTGACGTTCTTTCAGATCAGCGCCTGAACAAAATGACTTTCCTTGCCCCGACACAATCACCGCTGATCGAATGTCATTCGACGCACGAATCTGTTGGCAACGAGCAATGAGTTGTTGTGCAAATTCTGTATTGAATGCATTATGATACGTCGGTCGATTGAACAACAAATGCCAAAGATTTTTCGATATTTTATTCAAATGAACCAGTGAATTCAGTGTCATAATCCTACAGCGAAAATGAGATGTAGACAAACGTCCAGACGAATTTCATAGTGCATACATTTATTTGAGAAAGTTAAACTAGCACAAAACAAAAAATGAATGGTTCGTTTAGGAGAGGAAGGTTTCATTGTCAATAACAATCACAGAGCGATCATTTATTAAATTAAAACTTTTTTTCTTTGTTTGATCTTTCTTCATTGTCTTTAACATAAGATAATTGATGAACACTAGCATCGAGTTTCGCTGGTTCTTTCTGATGTTTCTCATCGGCTTCGACAATCTTCTCGGCATCGTCTTTGCTGATCGTTCCACGATTGTTTAGTGTTGTATTCGCGATTGCACAAACTTTTTCTTCAACTTTTGTCTCTCCACTTGCTAATTTTTCCCAATATTTTCTTGTTTCATCAATAACGCGATTTGCATATGCACGATCACCGTACTGTTCATTAAGTGCGAATTGGTTTGGAGGTTTACCTGTTGGAACTTTATAATATTTAAACCAACGAAGTGTTGCTTCAAGTAAACCTGGAAGATGTTTGTCAACATCATTGATATCGTGAATCTAAATAAAATCTTCTAGTTATTCTTTCTGAAAATCAACAAATTGAACTTTTACTTGCGAAGCAAGTTTATCGCGGATATCAATACCGATTAATTTCCAATCGGTTTCTCCTTCGTCAATTAAACCAAGCACACCGACGATTTTCACTGGAATGACTGAACCAGTTGCATGAAGAGTTGTACCGATTTCACAGACATCGATTGGATCGTTATCACCAGTGGTTTTCGTGTCTTCATCAACATGATTCGGATCTTCCCATGTTTGTGGCAATGCACCATAATTCCATAAATAACCATGATAAGGAAAGACATTATGGACAAAACGTGGTTTACCTTCAAAGAAAGAAAAACAGAGTTTCTTTTCTAATTCGCTGAGAAAAATCAACGAACCATTTTTCACATCTTGGACGAGTGGATTCATTTTGAATTGTTTGTTAATTTCCATTTTCGCATTTGTCCATCGTGGTACTTCAACGACCATATTATAAATAGTTACATCTTGATTTTCATTCGATTTCGTATAATCTTCATTAACAAGTGGAATATCATGAAATGGCGAGACGATTGTATTCGTTTGAGTGTCTCGAAAGTAACAACGATAACTCAATGTATGCAATTGGCCACGTTCGATAACCTCATAACGACGATTGGCATTATCGCTTGAAGTTGGTTCTTTACTAGGCAAGGGTTCACCTTGGCTGCCGGTTGTTGCGTCGGGTTTTTTTGGTGTGGTTGACATGATGGAAAAGTTCGTCGATTGTATCGAATGATGGTTTATTGAAGAAAGAGATCGAACTGTTTCTAAAATGGATGAGGTTAAAGGAAAAGCTCGCCGGAGTAGTGACATTGCTTTTCTGAAAACATAATTGAAAGAAAATATGGTGAAAAATTTGACATTCCATCTGAATGCACAACGATTAGACACCTGCTGGGAGTTGAATGTGTAATCTCGATAAATACGTTGTTTTTGAAGGAAATACGAAGAAAATGAGTTGTTTTTATAGGCTCGAGTCACATTATGTTCTTTTTCTGGATTTCATATTGACGTCAATTATGAAAAAAAACCTGAGGACAATTTGTGTTATTCTTCAAATTTTGACCTGAAAAACTTGACTCGATATTCAAACTACAAGAACAAATTTCCAGTTAAGTGTTCGAGGAAGGTGATAGTAGTACCCAAAAAAGTATACTTAGCATGTAGGGAACATAATCCATGCAATAATTTCCATGGTCCAAAGTCAATTTACAAATCGACGAGGATAAATAAAATACATCTTACCTTTCTCAGTATTTTCAATGAATCTCCATCTTTTTTGGAATAATTGTTGTTTTTTTGTTAAATATACATAGCGACATCTATTCTGATGTTGTTATAGTAATAAAAGAAAGAATGGTAGCTCGTCCTAATCGATATCGAGTATCGATGAAAACAAAGTGGAATGGCACTGACCGGTAAAAAGCTGAAAGCGATACCGAAACGATCTGATCAAAATGACAATGAAATTCGTCTTCCATCAGACCGAGAAGTTGCTCTTCGAGCGAAGTAAGTTGTTGTCAAGTCCTCGAATTCCTCTCTCAAATAAACACTCACAGATACGAACAAAAACAACACGATTTAACAGAATTTAAGATGCGTGTGCACAAAGCGTGAGTAAAAACACTTTGATCAAATATTTGATTTAAGTTGACATGTGAAAAGCGAAGAACAACACAAGTGGCTCGATCGAGAAGCCCATCGACTTCGAATAGAAACGGTAAAGAGCGTAATGGGTCATGAAACCAAGGGAAAAATCAAATGCGATTCTAGAGTGAATATAAACAATTTATTTTGAAAAAGAAAAATCTTCGCGAGACACAAATGGTGACACTAAGTGATCATCATAAAGAAGAGATTCGGAATATCAATCAATGTAAAGACGACATGACGGAAAAGTATCTTCAAAGGAAAAAAGGTAAAGCATTGAACAACACGATCTTGTTTCGGATGGATTTGATTAGAATTACAAATGCAATTGATCGAAAAATCGAAATTATTACGGAATGCTCAACGAGAGTTGGAAGATATGGAAGGATATAGAGTAAAGACTAAGGAGGGATATGAGGAAGATATGTTGATTTGTTTATAGATCATCCGTGAACAACAAAGTGACGAAATAAAACTATTGGAACATGAAGTGAAGCAAATGCGTGCTGAGCAGGTTCATGAAATTGATCGTTTTAAGTCAGATTTTCGAAAAGAAGTTGAACAAAATCAAAAATTCGAAGAGATTCAACTCGCCGAATTCGAAGAACAAGCGAAATTAGTAAGTTTTACTTACAAAAAATCCTCTCTCTGATCTAAATTCATTTGATCTAAGGAAGTCGCAAAATATCTTTACGAACGAACAGTAAACATTCAAAATGAAAATACTGAACTGAGGAAAAAACTACAAAGTATTTCAAAAAGACAAGAAGAATTAAACAAACTAAGAAATAAATTAGAAGAAGAGCAATTGCATTTAATCGTTCAATTGAAATTATCTACTGATCTAAAGAAAATACGTCTCGATAAGACATCTGGTAGTCTCCCAAAGAAGTTTCTTCGTTATCATTAAACTTTTCTCGATGTTGTAAACCTTCGTTTCGTGCAATGTGATACCTTATCTCATCTATTTTAATAAACAACGCATCTCTAGTCGTCAAATGAATTGTCTAACTTTCATTGTGATTTTCTTAGGTTTCATAACGAAAGGAAATGCGCACAGAGATGTTCAATATGTGATTTTTGAAGGTGGAGGTCCGGATGAAGGACCAGGACCTAATCAAACTGAAAATATTGCAGCGCTGAAACGTATTTTTGGAGAAATAAATTCAACTGCTCATCGAATGTATGCGTATGGGAAACAACAAATGAGAATTCTCACACGATCAATTGCATTTGTGCGTTCGGAACTCGAAATCGCTTTTGATTTGGCTGAAAAAACGAATACTCCACTTTTGATTCACATCGATCCGATCTATGGTTGGGGTGCGGACCAAGAAAACTCGACAGATGACGCACCAGCAATGAAATATTGGCAAAATGAAACTATGAGAGAATGGATTGAGTTTCCAATGAATTCCACACAGTTGCCAACTCGTATTCCACGATCCTGGTTTAATTGGGGTTCTTGGTGTTCACCCTCGTTCGCATTTCCAGCTATTGGTTCGCTGAACTTTCTTAATTTTTCGTCCAAACAATTCAATGAAAGTATCGCTCAACCTCTTGCCCAATGGTTATCCAAATTAAACCATCAAAATCAATCGTATCTATTTGCTGGAATTAACATCGGATGGGAAACGAGTATTCTCAACTATCGACATATCGATCCAACTGATTTACCCGTTGCTGTATGGCCTTTAAGTGCGAGAAATATTACAATGAAACCGTGGGAAGCTGGTGCTCAACTTGGCTATGCTTCACTTTATTGGCAAGGATGGACTGAAGAGAAATTAGTTCACGAAGCTCAGCATCGAAACATCACTCGGAATGAACTGTTTAATTTACTTTGTTATGAAATCATTCATAATTATTTGCAAATCTTGGCTGAAATTTCTTATCAAAATCAAATTCCTAAAGAACGAATTTATACACATATTGTTCCCATGGCTTCAATCGATCCGTCTCGTATCGAAACAACTGTTCCACCGATATGGACGGCAGTTAATCCTTATTCCATTCCAGGTTTTACAATGGATAGTCGAGGAGCAGCAATATACAATCTAACCGAGCTGAAACACCAAATATCCACCATAGATCCTTCACAATCCCATTTTGCTGTCAGTGAATCTTATCTTTTTAATTATCGTGATCAAGAAAGTATGCGCGTAAATTTAGCAGAAGCATTTGATAATGATGCCTTGATCAAATCAATCTACGGTGCATTGCCTTTATCACCTGACGACCCACAACCGATCGGCGCAATTACAGCGATCAAACAATGGTTGAATTTTAATCAAACATTTGCTTTATAAAGACGAAAATAATTTATTTTAATCAAATACAAATCTAAGCTTTAAGACAAAATTATAATCAAGCAAGTAGTTGATCTATTCGTGCATTGATTTCTTCGATTCTGGTCTTTTTCTCATCTTCATCGATACTTATGTCTTGTAAAGCATTCAATAATCTTTTCGCCTCCTCATAATTCAATTTTGCCTCATTTCGTTCGTCGATTTTCGCTAATGCAACTCCATCCTCCAGCAACAATCTCGACAAATCATTCATCATTTGTTCATATAAATCGTCTTCAATAGTAAATATTCCTTTCACTTTCGCCTCACCTTCCAATGCTTCACGAGCTCGATTACGATCTGCGCAAAAGACATAGACACTCTCCAAACAAGCATGATACGAAAGTCTCGGAACTAATAAACGAGACATGCCACCTGACATCACACTGATTATCTTGACATTCGGGTTCTTTTCCACATAAGTCGTAAAGTCATCCGAGGAATTAAAATATAACCATTGAGAAATGAATGCTGATAAGGTTTCGAAACGATCTTTGATGGATTTATGCGTACCAACTTCTCCAATACTTTGATCGACCCATGTGACGACCATTGGTGGACGCTTCATTGCCATGTTTATAACACGATGAAACCTTTAATTTGAGTCACTAACGACACATCGATTATACAGACAGACAGGCTATATATATGCGAAATGATTGGCTTTTTCCGTATTGGTGTCAAAGGCGTGGTTAAAGGGGGGAAATACCAAGCAGGAGAAAACCAATTTTATCGTTCTGTTGTTTCTTTTTTCAAAATTGTGAATAGGTGATTCAAAATATTTGCGTTCTTTTCTTTTCAATAACATTCACAGATATGTTATCTAACGCAACTCGAACGATACTTTTAATAACGTGCCCTGTTGTCTACGTTATACATTGCTTATCGTTTGCTGTGTTCAGTTTTTCTCAGACAATTACAAATATTCTCGGAATAATTATAGAATATTTATGTCTAAAAATTCGAATGAGAAAAGGAAGTAATATCTTTTGATGATCAATCGTGATTAAAGTATTATGAACTCCCACAATGACTCGAGGATGTAATAAGATTAACCATTTAAACAATCAAATTGTCTTCTTATTCGAATATAATTCCATATTACCAAAAGCTTTTCAACGGTGATATTGACATTTCCTTGTGCACAGCGATACTTTTTCATAGCAAACCTTTATTTCTCACTTCAAACAAAATCCGATGCTATTATTTACATTATAACGCTTATTACGACTTCGATCAACTATCCAATAAAGTAAACAGACTGGTAAAGAACATCGATATATATCTTCTCCATAAACAAATCATTATCGAGGACACCAGTAAATCAATTCTACTTGAAAAACTAATCTTCCCTTCTATCCGCGCTACTCTCAAAGAAAAAAGCCGAATTACTTAAGCTAAAAATGATTAACTATTAATTTATTCTAATGGCGACAAAAGCAATACTTCAATGTAATAAAACAGTAACATAGACTGGATAATCATTTTCATCTTTTCTCCTCCGAGCGAAATTAGTCGGCGCAAGATATAATATACAATCTCGCATATGTTCACAATTTCTTCTTCTTCTTTTTTCATTGTAAATATCTTTCATTACTCATTCATGCGTACGCAATCGATCTGTATTATTTATGATGCTCTCGGCGAACAAAACGATTCGAATTCTTTTCTAATCAAATGATCAACGGTTGAGTTAGTAGAAAAAAAAAGCGAAAATGCTCTGGAATCGATTCTGTTTTATTAATAATTGATCGTCAAATACGATGAAATTCTATTTCTGACTAACTTCTCTCTGTGAATATCTGCTAATAACTTCCGATGAATGTAACATCTGTCGATTGTCACTCATTCTCTCCGTTGAATTACACTGCTTTGACATCGAACAAAGCATAACAATAGATTTGTTAATGAATATACTCCTGTAAAATGATTCAAGAAGAAAGAATGTCATTCGATGACCTCGAGTAACAAACAAAGAAGACGATAGACAAGAATATTAGACTAATTAAGCTTTTTTGCCGGATGTCAACCATAGTCAACGATGTCATCTTAAGTTCTAATCGAGTTGGATTATATTATCATTTGCTTTTCGCTTTCCTCTATGGAATCATTTCATTCTCGTTCGTTTTCTTTTATACGTCAATTAGTCTTCAACGAAAATGTATGGTTACAATATCAAAATA